CCTCTTCCTTCTTCTCTTTCTTCCTACCACCTCCCCTAATCTCTTTGTCCAAATACAAAAAGAGTGTATAGTTGTGTAACTTCAGAAAGCAGAAACAGGCACTCCAGACTTTCTCAAATTCCCCGTTTTGAAGGAAGAAAACTTGTAAATTTATAGAAACAAGTACAGTATAATATTATACCTTCAATATACTGACAGTATACTTTTTCCGATTCTTTTATAACATGAAATCTATGGTGCATTCTATTTCTATAAAACAAACATTCTTAGTCACTAAATTTCCAATAACTGTGAAGAAAAAAATCCACTCTGGGATTTGTGCTGGCTCAACGGAATGTCACTTTTAGTTTCCCTGTTGAGAAAACCAAGCAGCCATCCAGAAGTAGTGTCAGATTCTGTAAAGAGAACAGGCTAGAAAGAAGAACCTGTATAGACTTCAGCAGTAGCAGGAGGTAGAGAGGGGTAGTGTCGGGTGTCCTTCTCTGCGTAGTTTTAAACACCAACATCTACTCTCACATGCAAAGCACAGATGTTTTCTTTCATGTTTGTATTGTTTTGCTTTGATGGTACTGCTGTTTGAACTCATGGTCTCATGCTTGCTTGGCTTGCTTGCTTGCTTGGCCCTCTGCTACTTGAGCTATGCCTCCATTCTGCCTTTTTACTAGTCATTTTTGAAGATGGAATCTCCAAGGGTTTTAAATGGCTGGGCTGGCTTCCAACGACGATACTTACGATATTAGCTTCATGAGTAGTTATGATTACAGGCATGAGCCACTAGCATGGGCCCAAGTACTTGCTTTTGGCTTCTCTGAATTGTTTGAAAATTGTGTTTGAGGCTTTTAGATGTTCAGACAAGAAGGCTATATTATCCTTTATTACTGTCCACTACTAGGAGAAGGCTTGGGTCCTGTTTCAGGCTCTTTGGAAGGTGAGTCATTAATAAATGTCCTAGCCTGAACCTCATACCCAAAGATTTCTTTGTCTTTTTCTCTCTCTCTTTTCTTTTTTTCCCCCCATTTCTAGCCTGGTTGTGTAAATACTACTGAAGTGGACATTAAGAAATCATCCAGGATGAGAAACCCCCACAAAACGCGGAAGGTAACCTGACATCTGTTGTAAAGTCCCCGCTATATACTACAGTTTTCATAGAGTATCACCCAACAAATACCTGACTCCATTACATGCCGGTCTTACGTGCTGGTCCAGGTCTTGTTGGTCCCTTTCCCCTTAGGAATGGCACCATCTCTGGGTCTCAAGGCAGGTGGGGGGTACTGCCCGGCACTGACAGGAAGAAGAGAGTAGCATCAGACCCTTCCACTCCCCATCACAGGCAACATGTCACAAAAAAGGAAAAGAGATGGAGGTAATCTGAAAAACAGTGGTATTGCTGAGAAAAAGGCATATGAGAGAAAAGTCCCAGGGAAAACAGACACTACTTAATTATAGGAAGAGTTTGAGGATCTTCATGTTGAAATCAGACCTTTGGGAGTGTCTGTTTTCAGAAAAGGTGCCTGGGAAGACATTTTGTTCTGAAAGCAGTGACATTTTAGACAGTCCTTTGAAAATAGTGGTGGTGACCACATATTTTTCAAAGTAGCATGAACACATAGGAAGTATTTTTATTCATTCCATTGAAAATAGAAATGTATATATGAAATATATATATATATATACACACAGATACACACACACACACACACACACACACACACAATTTTTTAGCCTATAAGAGTCTAGAGATACAAAACACAGATTGGAAGGCCTGGAAGGAAACTCTGGCTTAAAGTCAGTTGCCTCTTTGTGTGTGTCTTCAAGGCCTTTCTTCTGTGTGTGAACAGAGAGAAAGGAAAATATGGATTCTCATACTCTTTTTAGAAGGGTACCAATTCTATCTGGGCAAGCTCTCACCCTTCGGTTCTCATTTAACATTATCTTCTTCCTACAGGCCATGTCTCCAAATATAGTCACCCTGGGCTTTCTCATATTTATTTGGAGGAATTGGCCTCAGTTCATTTCACACTGTAAAGGCAATTGAAAAGATCTGTGACTCTAAATGGCTTCATTTTATCAGTTAACTTGGTAACAAGCAGTAAATTATTTCACTACCTTAGAAAGGATTCCTCACAGCTCTGTCCCTGTGGATCAAGCCACTCCAAATGGTTATAAACCCTAGAAAACAATGACCAGGTACACATGCCCGTGCTCTCTGGAAGCTGCCAATGGTTGCTCAGGACTTGGTCTGTCTGTTTTGGCACTTCTGCTGAGTGATTGCCCTCCATTTTACACTGCTCCTGGAAGGGTGTGGAAGCCTTGAGCCATGCTTAATCTTTCAAAACAGATACTGCCCTTAGCAAAGAGAGCTGCTCATCATGTCTTCGGGAGTCAGATGGAGTAATAGTTCTTAGGGTTCTTGTGATTTCATGCCATAACAAAATGAACAAAGCTAATGAATCCATAAAGTCCTAATCTAATTTATGTGCTTACAGACTATTTGGGTTATGTTTACATTTAATTTTGGGATGCCTTAATTAACGATTGAGTTGTGAATATGTTTAGCAATATAACTGATTTTTGATATTTTGAAAATTGTCATGTAGCTCAGTTCTTAGCACTTGCTTACCATCTACAAGACCTTGGATTTTATCCCCAGAACTGCCATTAATAAACCAATGCATTCAAAATTTAAGATTAGCTCATTTTCTAGTTGTTCCATTAAATTTTGATATGCTTTATTAAAATACAAAGAAATTGTTAATGTATATTTCCTCAGGACTCATAAATGATTACATTAGCATAGCCATAAAGCAGCTAGGCTAATCTACAGGATTATTTTGCCTGTTTGTTTCATTGTTATTTAGTTTTTTCAGTGCTAGTAATTGATACCAGGGACCTTGCACAAACTAGACAAGCATTCTACTTTTGAGTCCAAATCTAGAGGTTCCGGGAAGACAGTGATTTAAGGACCCCATACAGTCTTTGATGTATTCCTAAAGGTTTTATTGTAATAGTAGGGTTGTGTATTAGTCAGTGATCTCTAAAGAAACAGAACTGACAAAGGGGGTGGGGGTGGGGGTTTGCACGTACGCACGCACGCACGCATGCCCACACACACCCATGTGTACACTCAGGTACATTGATAAGGGAAAGAGAGAGGGATAGAAAGAGCCCATGATAGAGAAGAGGGGTAGGTATGTGTTTACATGGAGGTACTCAGATCATATGACAATGCTAGAGCAGCAAAGAGCAGAAAAACACAGTGGTAGAAATGTAAAACTATTTAGAATCAAATTTCTTCTTATCAAATAAACCAGCCTTTTTTTCTTTAGAGCTTCAAATGGTTATGTTTTAGAGTTTTTATTTTCCTTATCAAAAAATCTCCACAGGGGTCATTGAATTTATTTTCTATTATATATGTGCATCTATTTTACTTGGAATTTGATATTATCAAATGTTAATTTTAGCATTCCACAGATTTAATACCTTCGGACTACACCCCTAATTGTATTCTACTTACCATATTTTTGCATAGAATAAGTTATTCTGTTCAAGTTAAAAATTGAATTGCATGCCTTCAATATCTCCTCTTCTGTTTTACTTACACATGGGAATTATTGATAGCAATGTCTTTTGGATGTAGATAAGAAACTTCATCAAATAAGCTTTGAGTTACCTTACTAGATAGATAATACAAACTTGCTTTTTTATGGAAGTCTGCGACTGTGAGAGATGTTTTATCCTAACATATTTTTTATTTTAACATAGTCTGTCTATGGTTTACAAAATGATATTAGAAGTCACAGTCCAACCCACACACCCACCGCAGAAACAAAACCTCCGACAGAAGATGAGCTGCACCAACAGGTGGGTACACTTATGAAATGACCTACAAATGGGCACAACGTAGCAGCTATTGAGAGGAGACAGTGAATGTTAATGACAGGTGCTGGGAAAGGTAATTTGTGTGCTCAGCTGTTTCATTTTGAAGTTAAGAGGTAATGAAGGGAATAGTGCATGCTGGGCCTCGGGAGAATGAGGAAAGCCAGCTTGGAATATACAGTAAGACCAACAAATAAAGACCTCAAAAAAAATACAACAAACAAGGGCTAGGAATGTTGCATAGTGTTAGAGTACTTGCCTAGCATGCATGAAACCATGCATTCAAACCCAATGCCCAATGATAGCAATAATTAATAATAATAATAATGATAATAACTCAATGAAGTTGTCTAAGCCATGACACTTGGAAATTCATCAGTGTATGGGAGTAGTGGCTCGTTTTCACATACAAGACTGTGATTTGAACCCACAATGGTATTTACTCCTGTTTCTATAATACTCATGTATCTAAACCATTTGAAGGTTTACTTTATCAATCCTAGTATGCAATCATGGCAGATATGGCTTCTTTTTTTCAATCTAATTGGCTTCAAGTTGTATTTCAATGCAAGCACTAATGTCTAATGAAATACTAGTTAAACCTCGTGTTGGTATAATCCAAGGGCTGTTCCCCTCCCCCCCCCCCGCCTTTTTAACTTTCTTTTTCCTAATGTTTTATTGTGGTGTGATTTAAAATCTCCATAGTGTTTTTCAATGAAGTTACATTTGGGTAAATACAATGTTTACTCATTTCTGCTTCAAAGCTATATTAGTTCTTTTTACAATCAAACAGATATTCATTTTCTGTTAACTTTTTCAAAGCCCTCTGCTTTGATTTATTTTTTTGACAGATTTTTGAAGTGTTACTTAGAAAGTAGTTGTCCAGATTTCCCAGTCTACTGCAAATCAGATTTGAAACTTGTGATGTCATTACTTATGTAACATACTTCTCTAATCCTCTTTGCAGATAAAATATTGGCAAATACAGTTAGATAGACACCGGTTAAAAATGTCAAAAGTTGCTGATAGGTAAGTGTTTTAAGATGTCAATATGAATTTTAAAATGTCATGACACAAATGTGTTAAAATGGCAAGAGGATGGATACAAGTAGGGCTAAGATAATTGAAACTCTATAAATACGTTGTTTTATTTTTCCCTTTTGCACATAATGAATTTTTTGCCAGGAGGCTGGTGCTAGTCCTTTGTATTGAACTCACGGTCCAAATGCTGTCCTTTAGCTTTTCAGGTTAACACTACTACTTGAGCCACAGCTCTAGTTCAGTTTTTAGGTGGTTTATTGGAATTAAGAATCCCATAGACATTTTGGTCTAAGCTTTCTTTGAGCTATGATTCTTAGGTCTCAGCCTCCTTAGTAACTAGGTTTATAGGTATGAGCCATTGTCACCCGGCATATATGAAGAACTTTATAAAGAACTCTTGTGCTGAAGTTGAAAGGGCAGCATGATCATCATTGGCCTAAATCCCTAGTAGCCATGTCCTGTACAACCCAGAATAAGGTACAGACAAGAATTCAAATGAGTGAAATCTCCTCACTTCTGCTGGAAGACATGAAATTTAATTCACTAGCACCCCAGTGATGAAATTATAAATTAATTTCCACATTCACAACATGCTATTGCCTGCCCTAAGAATCTGCATTAAACTTAGATTTTAGATTTGTCTTGTCTTCTTTTAAATCTGTTCTTAGTAAAATTCACAGTCTTTATTTGGGCACACTGTCAAATCTTGCCTCTCTTACCTTTGCATTCTTAAATATAGATTGAAAAGCACCTATATTTTACCTAATACCTGTATATAATTTTGAGAAAATTTCCCTCTTAATCCTTTCTCCAAATTGGTAACCCTCATTGGGGAAGGCAAGTGTCAAAGCAAGGACTAATGTGAATGAGCACTGTTCTTCACGAGCCAACGTCCCCAAGGCCACCTCTTTTAGGCCTAAGGAGTGTTGATCCCATATTTTAGACATGGAAGACAAATGTCATAACCACAAATGCCTAAATCATAAGTTGTTTCATGCATGGACTCCCTGGACAGATGTTTTCATATTGGTTTATATTACTTTGTATATCTTCAGGCAGAAAATTCAGCAAGATGGAAATGTCTGGGTCTTTGTTTGTTTTTGTTTCTCTCCCTAGTCTACTCAGTTATACGGAACAGTATGTAGAATATGATCCATTTCTTGTTCCACCTGACCCTTCGAATCCGTGGCTGTCAGATGACACTACTTTTTGGGAACTTGAGGCAAGGTCAGTGAATGTTTCTCTTCATTCCAAATCTTTCATTTATTTTAGAGTCTGGGTGAAATAGGAAGAATCTTATAGTTGGTTCCTTCTACAGATGGCTTTACTCTTCACCTTCATTGTCCAGGATTCAATTATTGCTCAAACTAATGGCTTTTGAAACAGGCATTTGTTTTTCATAAAGACTTCATCTATAAAAAGACAGAATCCTATTATTCATGACAACGTGGATGGAACTAGAGATCATTATGTTTGGTAAAATAAACCAGGCACAGAAACAGTAGTATCCCATTATCTCACAAAGCATAAAAATTGGTCTCAGAGGCTGAGAGTGTAATGGTGTTTACCAGAGGCTCTGGAGAAAGGGAAGCAGAGAAAGACTGACCAATGGTACTGATATACTTAGTAGTAAGAAATTCTGATATGCCATTGAGCAGTAGAACCATTGTAAGCAACTATGTCCCATGTAGTTAAAAAAGCTAGAAAAAATAATCCTGAAGGCTTTTTACCATAGGATGTTTGAGGAGACATATGCATCACAATGTAAATATTATATATGTTACAAAAATATCACATGGTATTCCATATATATACATATGCATACCTATGTGCAGATTTGTACTCTTTCATATTCTTTTTTTTTTGGGTCCGGTCATGGGGCCTGAACTCTGGTCTTGGGCACTGTCCCTCAGCTCTTCAGCTCAAGGCTAGCGCTCTACCACTTGAGCCACAGCGCCACTTCCGGCGTTTTTCTTTTTGCTTATGTGGTGCTGAGGAATCGAACCCAGGGCCTCAGGCATGCAAGGCAAGAGCTCTACCACTGAGTCACCTTCCCAGCTCCCCCCTTTCATATTCTTATGTGTTAGTTTGAAATAAAAAAATTAGAAACATAGTTGTATTTCTGATAATACTGACCTAAAATTAGAGATAAGAATTTCAAAGTCGGGTTAGCCAGAGTTTAGCGCTTCAGTTCTTAGAATTCTGCTCATCAAAGGCTCATGTATTCAAGTAAAATGAATGTTAAATCCATACTTATTTAAGCCCAATAAAGTACATTTTATATATTCATTTTTTTAAAAATCAAATGAGCTTTTTACAAGCACTGAGAGTAGTAACTTTCAAAAGACTCAAGTAGAACTGAAGACTCTTATCTTCTTTCATGAGCTCTATGGGAAGAACATTGTGGCACTAGTACAGACAGAGCCACTGCAAAGTCCTGCAAGTCTCTTTACAAGCAGGACCAGTGGTCTCCAGCACTTCCAAGATTGTGTGTCTGTCTGTCTTTTCCTTTCATATCATGCAAGAGATCTTAAACACTTGATATGTCCAGATGATTTCATCTATAAGGAAGCTAACATTCCCAAATGTTATGATTTGATCAGGATTAGTCATAAATTAGTTTTAAAGGTTTTGACTGTCCATACATCTGTCCCAGTGCAACTTCCTACCATGAAACTGCATTGTGTAGTATTAAAATAAAAAAGAACTTCAAATCACAATGTCTAGATCTTTGCCCTTTATTACTTGTGGAACATTGGCAAGTTCTAACTCAGTATCCTCATCTAGAAAATGTAAAGAATAATAGCATTGTGCTCATAAAAGTTCCTGAAAAATGAAGATAATTTACTGGGACCACTTAGCACATTCACAGTTAGATTCTGACCACTTAGCACCTAATAATAAAAAGATAGCTATTGATTCAATTTATTATGCTTTCCTGAACAACAGTCCATCAGATATATATTGTTTTTTTGAAAGATAACAGAAACGTTAAGATATACATGACTTTGAAAGGATACAGAAAATAAAAGTGACAAAGAAAGGAATATATTTGTTTATTTGTTTGTTTTCTCTCCTATAGCAAAGAGCCAAGCCAACAGAGGGTAAAGAGATGGGGCTATGGAATGGATGAGGCATTGAAAGACTCAGTTGGGAGAGAGCAATTCCTGAAATTTCTAGAGTCAGAATTCAGTTCAGAAAACTTGAGGTAAGATACACTGTTTAGTTTTTATATTTTAAGCCTGGGCGACATGATCAGTTTTTTTCTGAACTTAAAATAGTCCCACTATTCTCCTACCAATGGCATATTGCTGTTATAAACCCATTGCATTTGAAAACAATATGCATCACCAGGACAAAGCTTATCCAACATTATTGATTCTTTACCATAATTGGTATGTTTATATGTATGTTTGTATTTATGTATGTATGTATGTGTATATTTATATTTATTTATTTATATATTGGTGCCAATACTAAGGCTTGAAATTAGGGCCTGAGCACTATCTCTTAGCTTTTTTTGCTCAAAGCTAGTGCTCTACCACTTGAGTCATGGATCCATTTCTAGCTTTTTGACCATTAATTGAAGATACAAATCTCATAGATTTTCCTGTCCTAGCTGGTATTTTCAGCCTTAATCCTCAAATTTCAGACTCTTGAGTAGCTAGGATTACAGACATGAGCCACTGACACCTGGTTATAATTGCTTTGTATGCTACCTCTCTGTGTATGTGTGTTGGAACTGGGGCTTGAACTCAAGGCTTTACACTCTCTTATCTTTTTCATGTAAGACTGGCATTCTATGACTTGAGCCATATCTCTCTTCTATGTTTTTGTTGATTAATTGGAACTAAGCATCATATTTGTCTGGCCAGATTGGCTTCAAACCCCAATCCTCAGATTTCAGCCTCCCAAGTTAGTTAGGTTTATAGGAGTGAGTCAGCAGTACTCCTCTTCGAAAATTTTTGTTTTTAGATTTTCTGCATAATTATTTTTTTCTTTTTTTATTGTGAAAATACCATACAGAGGGCTTACAATTACATGAACAAGCTAATGAGTACATTTGATTTTGTTTTTTTTTTTT